TCAAGAAATGTTTTATGAATAATTCTCAATCTATCAGTTTATGAGTGGGTGGAAATTGATTGTATTGCATTTCTTTCAGTATATTTGGGCCAAGGGTCTCTAAGTTTTAAGGTCATTTTATAGCTTTGTTTTTATGATCTTTGTCTTAGGTATCTTTGAGTCATTCTTTTGTGTTTTACCCCCCCCCCCCCAAAAAAAAAGACAGGTTTGAAGTCCTGAAATATTTAATGGGTGTCGATTGAAGTAAAGTCTAGTAAGATATACACATAATAAAGATCCTTCTGTCATAAAAAGATTTTTGGAATAATTTTGTGGTATTGTCTACATTATAGTGTAATTAATAAAAACAATACATTGTTCAAGTGAAGATGTAAGTTGATTAGACTACAATTTATTGTTAAAACTCCTTTTACTATTGTTTGCACTTTCTAACAGCAAATCTAGACCTCAAACATGTATTTAGTTCACAGTAAACACGGGTGGTATTTAAAATAGGTAACTCATGGGTGCACTAGAGTAAATCTATATTATCAAAGTGGTAAGTAGTTATGTACCATTGGTATAGTGATGTTATTTTCTACATATAATATTTCATTTCATTATTTTTTCATTTTCCTTGGTTATAAAGAACTGGTTGTTTTAGCTGTGTACTTTGAGAAGGTATACTTCACAGAAATATTTAAATAAATTAACTGAGCCTTCATCAGATTTCTCGGTTCCCTTGCATCTTTCAATATACTGTCTTCCTGTAGGAATAAAAAATAATGTGATTTGTCTTATGTAAAGTGCCTCTAAATGATACTGGACATGGTGGACTATAATTATGCTTTGAATACTGGTGAAACATGTTGTGTATTTGTACATATCTGTAGACTAAAATTATCAAAAATGAAATAAAAAAACATTAAACTTTTATCTTCCATTACAGTTTCTGATTACTTGAAATGTGTGTATATTGTTTTAGCCTAAGGTTTTTCACTTAATACATTTTTGTTTTTTAAGGTTCAATAATATAACTAGCTCTAGCATTTACAGGTCTGTAAAATGTTCAATAAATGGAAACTTTCTTCAGAAATGAAAAAAAAAAATATAGGATTTATCACTTGTATACAAGAGAAGCACAATTGGGAACGCTTTCCTATCATTCTTATTTCATGTAAAGAAAGAAAAAAGTTCTTGATGCTCAATAAATTGTCAAAATTTTATATATTTCTGTTCTGGTAATCAAATTCCATAGTAGAGACATGAATTATCATGTCTCTTTGCTATTTTCACACATCTTCAAGTAATGAACAGAGATCAATTTGGTAGTAAATTTAACTTTCCATGCAAGTATTTAAAAAGTGTGGCTGCAAAGCTGATGAATCAAAATTCAGGGCAGGCACTTAAAGTGGAGAAAAATTTAATGGAATGTGTGTGATAGTATTGCAGTGTAGTTAGTGATATTCAAATAAAGTGTTATATTACTACAAGTTCTAAATAGTTTATCTACATTAAGTGTTGAATATAAATCAAAATCTTTCTTCTGCTTATATACATTCACCTTGACTTATTTGAAAAAGTGTATTCACAAGTAATCCAATAACTTATGTTTTCACTAAATCCAAGTGTTATTTCATTCTCCTTTAATACCTTATATTCTGTAATTACGTAACTCAAAATAAAACATTGTGTTCCCTGCATTGAGTAATACTTTTAAGTGTATTTTCTTGAAATGCTTAGTACACACAAGGACTTTTGGGACATGCCTGTGTATTTACAAGCCAGAAATTGTATTTGCCAATCACTTCACTATGTGTATTAGCTAAATTTTGTTATAAAATTTGCATCAAAACTTTCTGAACATAAATTGTTTTAGGAAAATGGTATCACAAGAATTTATTACTATTGTAATACAAAAATGTGTCACTTTAAACTGTACTTCTAATATTAAAATTAAAAGACCCTCTGCTATAATTTCCTTACAAAAGTACCTGTAAATTACTTGTTGAAAGAATAAAAGTTGACCTTCATAAGCTCTTGCTGAGAAGTGTAATTTGTCCTGAAAGTTTGTGTATATTGTTTGTTTTGAATTTCATGCAAAGCTGCACGAGGACTGTCTGTGCTTGCATTCCCTAATTTAGCAGTGGAAGACTAGAGGGAAGGTAGCTAGTCATCACCGCCAACTCTTTTTACCAATGAATAATGGGATTGACCGTAACATTATAATGGCCACACAGCTGAAAGGGCAAGCATACTTGGTGGGATGGGGATTCGAATCTGTGACCCTTTGATTGCGAGTCAAGCACCCTAACCACCAGGCCACTCATGTACATTGTCTCAAGAACTTCGTTGGTTTAATTTCCAAGTGTTTTAAATTACTTTCTTCGGAAAAACCTAAAAGATGTTATTTTGTAAACCAGCAATTCGGGAGATGGTACACACCATGAGAATAGAATCACTTGCATTAAGTTTTATTGTCAAGCAAAAAAAAAAGAAGCTAACTTTTATCAAATGAACAGTTTTTTGTAATCAAAGAAATTTCTTATAAGAAAAACAGGAAGCTTCTACTAGAGTACCACACTTGTAAAAGTTTCTTCAAAAAAGTGGTGATAATATGATATGTAGTATTTTGGTAATACATATTGTGTATTACACTCACAAGTTCAGTATTTACGAAAACAAATGGAAGTATCAGACAGCTGACCAGTTTGTTGTTCACAGTTTTAATTACAATTACCCATTAATCTTAAAATATCAATATAATGTTTATAAGTCATACTTTTATATGTTTTTCTTACTATTTTAGTATCAATCTTCAAGTTTCTCACTTGGTTTTATACAATGTACTACCAGTGTGATCCACGTACTGAGTTTTGTTTCTGCTTGTTAAACACCTGGTGTAAAAAAAAAACTGAGTAATATAGTTAATTTTATTTTTAAAATACAAAGGGGCCCCAGCAATAATTACTGAATTTATTGTAATGTTGGTAGTATAATTTATTTGTGTGTGACTCGCATGTTATCACAGACCTGGAATAATAACTCGCAATACCATACTGTCAGTAATGATCCTTACCCCTAAGTACTTGCATGTTGTCCATATTGACCTCAGCCAAATAATAATGGTTCTTAGTCTATAAAGTCTGTAAATAGGTATTTTTTTTTCCCTTTAGTGACTTTACTCAGCAAAGAGTGAAGAATTAAATGTTTTTTCTTCCCTATACAGTGGCTTTAAATAGTGTGTACTCCATATGGACCCAATTCAAGTACTTAAGGGCTAAAAAAAAAAAAAGAAGAGAAAAAAAAGAAAAAAACAAGGTGAAATCCTTTTTATAAACAGATATGTATAAAAATTTGATTATGAAACTTAACGCCAAAATTAGTATTGTAAGGAGTTCTGGGTTGTTGTTTTTTCTTTCTTTCTATTCGAAGACTCATTTTTTTATCGGGGATCCTGTAATTAACTCTACGACTGAAGGTGAAAGGAGGTTACATTTTCACCCTTGCATGTGTGTGTGTTTAAGCAAGATTTCTTGAAAATGGCTGAATGGATTTGGACGAAAGTTGGTATATATATATTTAGACTATGACTCAATTTACAAGTGATTTGTTTTTGGAGAGTCAGGGTCACAAATAGGTCATGAAAATAAAAAAATCCCCATCTGTTAACATGACTGATTTTTTACACTATTTTTGCTCTATAGCCCAGTCAAAAATTATTGGATTTTTGATTAAACTTGGTGGACATATGTAGAATGTTATTCCTCACTGTCTTGCCAAAAATGGTCTGTGTCCATTGATAACGACAGAAATATGGACACATTTTCTTAATTTTTGAGACCTGAATATAATCAGTGCTGTGTGCCAGAGGTATGCTCTCTACCAAGTGCTCCTCTAGTTAACAAAGTCATTGACCTATTATTAATTTGGTGCATATAGTTTATAAAAAAAAAAGTGTTTAAAAAACGACTGGACTTGTAAGGACACCAATGATAAATCTCAGGTTAACAAACTAAACCACTTTATGACAACTGACCAGTTTCCCGTTAAAAATCATCTAAATATTCACTGAAATCTGAAGCTTCAGTTAAGCTGTTGACCAGTTTATTACTTACAACTACAATGCTTTAATTTCTGGTGAGAAGTTTGAACATTTTCATTCTATTCAGAAAAATTCATCAATGACCTATCTACCTTAAAATTTAATACAGAATGAAATTTCAAATGCACATTATGTGGTACACTTTTATAATAGTCTTCATTTCGGTCTATTTTATAAATGGAGTTAATAAAATTGTCTGTAAATCACTGTTCAGTTTTACATTTATACTTAACATAAAGTATGTTTAATAAACAGAAATGTTTTGTGCAGTAAATGTGACTTTGGTGGTAAGTAAATAATTAAATGTTTACAAAAGAAATAAATGGACAAATTTCCATTAAAAATTTAAAACCTAACATTATGGTTGCATTTATGAAGTTTCAAATATGTTTAGAAATAATTCAACTTTTGTTTTATAGTTGCCTTGTTAATAGATTTCACTAAGGTGTATCAAAATATTGTACTTGCACATACTATGTAGTATTATACAGATTTTCAAACCTTCTGATACAAGATTGGAGAATTGACTGGGATTTGTATTCTGTTGTACCACTACATTCAAGTAAAAAATATGTAATCTTTTAGTGAAGTGACGTTTTTATATTGTACCAACCTTAAACAAAATCATAAATAGCCAGTTATTGAAATAGTCCATTAAGAGAAGGTTTGACAGCATAATTTTAACTTATTTTTTCACCTATGTTTAATTGATAAAATGACTAATGTAACAGACTCCAGATGCAGTTTGCATATACATGTTAACTTTTCCATTTGTTTCAAACAAGGTTGCTAATAAATGTACTTAAAACATTTACTCAATATTAATTTGCAAAACATTCTTTAAATTTAAATTTCATGTTCTGTTTATTAAAATTCAATTATGCACAGCGGAGATTAATAGAACACAAACCACAAGTACTGGAGATTTTTGTTTTTTTTAATTCTTTTAGTAAAAACAACACCACCATGAATATCCTACATATGCAAATAACCCTACACTCTAAGATGAAGACTACCAAAAAATCTTTTACCTGCTTTAGATTTTTTTTTCTTTTTTACAAAAATTGATACAGATCACATAATAAACAAAGCACTGATCAATGACAGCCAACTTATGTTGAAACAGGCGGATGAAAGTTTTTCTAATTTATACATATATTTTTCCACATTAAAATTTCATTGGTACACTTACATCTTAAATTTCTGTTATCTTTCCATGCTGTATATTACAAACTACTTGAAGCAGCAAGAAAGTCCACGTATGCTACAAATGCTGAGGTAAAGGGAGATAAATGTATAAAAATATTTTAACCAGTTTTTAAAGATGTCTCTTGTACTTTTTATTTTCTTTCCAAATCTGATTTCTGACTGTTGGGATTAGAAGGCATCAGTGAAAAGGACTCACCATACAAGACATATACACACATGGATGTGTGAATATATATGTATATATATATATACATACACACACACATACATATACAGAATCCCACTGGCTATTTTCCAATGGAAAAATTATAAATTTTTCCATATAGCCCTTTAATCGTATTTTATCAACAGCTCCGTAAATCAATATGTTTTAATTCCCCCAGAAAGATGCAAGTAAATACTCCTTACAAACAGTCTTGTGAACTGACTGGCCAAAGGGTGAGAATAAGCATTCAATTTTTTAGTTGAGATGTTTTGAAACATCTCATATCTTACCAGTATATATATTTATATATATATATTATATATAACTTCAAAAAGCCTCTTGATGACCTTATGTCTTATACCTCTCACTGTAAACTTAGGAAAACCAAGAAAATTTACAAGGTATTGTCACACACACTCAATAATGAAACACTTTTTTTTCCCCTCTTCTACAAATCATTTACAATACACAGCATGCATTCTGAAGAAAACTGTCTTTCAAAAATTACACATGGAATAAAATTTAATGTGATAAAATGAAAAAACATTACCACATAAAGAACTACATGATCTGGTAAAAGGTGGGTTATCTGATAATGTTTTCCACTTTGTCTTTAATTTCTTACTTTGGCTCTGTTGCTATCTTGTGAGGTTGGTAATACTGATGACTGAAGAAAAGAGCCCATTATTTATCATATTCCACATAGGATTTTATAAACACTGTAACTATGGTTGAACAGTTTATACACAATGTTTAATTGTAGTATGAACAGCAATTCAGATTTGTGACAACACACCACTGACCCACATGACCAATGTAGTCACAGTAGTGACTTTGTTCATAGATGACAGATTTGTGCTCACAGGTACACCAGTGATGTGCACTTGATTATTTCTGCCTGTTTGAACCATTAGAAATTATGAAAGATCATTAAAACAACTAAGCCGTATCTCATTGTGCTACGTGTTTAATCGTGGTCGTTTAGAAGCAGGAACTGCAGCAGGGTCTTCTTCTTCTTCATCAGAATCTTCATCGGGATAATCTACTAATCCACCCTGAATAAAGAAACAACTACTTATGCCACAAGGATCCCAATAAAACAAACTTGTAAAAATATTAAAATTACATTTTAATTGCTTTGTTCACTGAGCTACGCATCTGAGAAAAGACTTAGCAACAAAATTTTATCATGCTTCAACAGTATATCAAATTATTGATTAACAAAAAAACTATCTATAAATCTATGAAAAAGCAAGATTATTCACACACTTTTTTTGCAATTAATATACTTGTTAAACCGATGACTCATTTATAATTATTGGTGAAATAATTTCCTATCCATACCTGTGTTAATGCTTATTCTCTAGTTGAATTCTATAATTGTTACAGTATTCAACCATATAAAAAAATTATTTACTTTTCTTGTAAGAGTTGCACCCTTCACTTCAACTGATGGACTGAGGGGCTGGGCTGAATTTGAACCGGGACAGCTTACTTTACGACTATTGAGAACTGGAGATCCTGCCTTGTTAGGCACTGATCGTAAGTTTTCTTTTCCTTCTGTGTCTCTACCTATAGATGACAGACATAAGTATAAACAAACGTCTTTCACAAAGATGAAAATAATTAGTTGTGAATTGAAGTGATCCAGTAATGAGAAAATGGTCAAAAAAAGTTCCAAAAAGAAACATTGTTCAAAAAGAAATACAGCAATAGTACTTTATTCAAAAGGTTAACAGAATGATAATTCTACTCATTACCCATTTGATTCATATTTTATATTATTAAATAAAAACAAAGAATAATGTCTGATGACTAAAAGCTTAACTATCATATTATTAGAAATTCTGAGTTTTTTATACTTTTACATTTACTAAAAGCATGCCAAGTTTCATTAAGATACACATAGTAAATTCAAAATTATAGTCAACATAAATTATCCAGTACAGGCTCAGTCCAACAGATATGGGGTTGATGCAGCTTCAGCTTTCTGATAGTGTGGGTCAATTAAACATATCCTTTAGCTTTCCATTTTGACTGGCCTTGCAACCTCAAGGTACCATGTAGTAAGTCCATCTCAATGAACTTTGGCAAGTCTTTTGTAATCAAACAAGAGGGGATTCTCAATAGCCACAGCACTTGAAATTCTTTTAGGCAGGACTAGAGTAAATTAATCTCCGAGATCTTTATTTTCCTTTTATTATCTATATTTTTGTGTGCCAGCCATACCAAGCATGAGGCGCATACATCTATGGTATTGATGTTCTAATTTATGATTTTTTGGTTATTCAAATGTATATATAAAACTTTAAAAAAAAATTATTTTGTTTCATATCCTCCACATGCAAAATTTTAAAAGGCTTAGCAATCTAAGTCAAGCAGCAACTGAGTACAAAGGTCATAACTAGAAGAGGTAATTGTTTGCTTCTTATTTACTGTTCTATGTTGTATGAAAATAAGTTTAAGAACTTATTTTTAAATAGCAATACTCTATATACATATATAATGTATAATAATTGAAATGTGACTGTATTTTACAAAATACTAGTCCACTAAAACACAGCCAAGACAAGTTACTTTGTACAGACCAAAGGTCAGTTTTATGTTATTTGATACAGAAACATGAGTGCATGTGAGCCACATCATTGTAACTTCTGTATTGTTAGCCAGGCATGGCTAAAAAGTCAATATAATAAAAATATAAATATATATAAATGTATAATGTTATGAGATTTAAGCTATTTAGTCTAAAACATTTTATGTTTTCGTGTTATAATTTGTTGTCATTCTAGAATGAAAGAGTAAAAAATTTATATTTATTTCCTAATTTTGTTATGGTTGTTGCGAAATCGGTCAAATGTATTGAACCCCTACAGAGTATTAATTACTGAAAAATAACAAATAAAATATCAAAATATAATTTTTATAGCCTTCAATTTGATTACAGTGCCATAAAATAAAAAAATCAAACCCATCATGCTACGCCCACCTGTAACATCCTCTCTTTCACCCTTTCAGAAATTACCAATAGTTGTCTCTGATATTTAGTTCTATATCATTTATAACCGATAGATAGCCTAAGTTTTAATTTATTGAATGACTTATCATATTACATTGTTTTCTGTACATATATTTGTCTATTTTGCATCCAGTTCAAAATTTATTCCCACGGAAAATACACTGACTAACTAGCTCAGCTGAATTTTTAATGGTTCTTGTCACATAGTTAGAAAGCCAGAAATATTGTGATAGTTATAGGAAATTGTCTGCTTTTTGCATGTTATTATTTCTGTGTTCTTTGGTGCATTATTTAATTGAATATAAAATTATTTAGTGCAGTAGTACCATTAGTATAAAAAAAAGTAGGGTAAAGTTTCATCAACAGTCGACAACATAAAAATAGTAGATCCAAGTAAGTACTGTATTGTTTTTCGTGGATGTTTTTTATTTATTATTATAAAAGTAACTACAATGTAAAAATTAGAAACTTTTTAATAATAACAAAAATTTTACATGAGGTATGTTCACGAGCAACTTGCAAGTAGCCCATGCATTAGGTAATTTGATAGAGTAACATAAACTAAATGTAATTTACAATTTCTGTACCAGAAATATTAGTTAGACATGGTTCAAAGGGCAATAAAACAATAAAATTTAAGTAGAAACAGATGTATGCTGTTACAAGTTTCAAGCTATTAACTCTTTCAGCACAGGCTCAGTCCCTCGAGTCAATCTCGTAACCATTTTGTGCTTGTTATAGTTTTCATGCTATAACGTTTACATTAGTGAGCGAATGTTAACAAAATTTGGAAGATTATCAGTAAACATTACTATGCTTTCATATGCAAAATGTCAAATTTTTTCATTAAGTCTTAAGGTTTGTAAAGCAATGTTTTTCTCGTGCCTTTTTTTCTTTTATGCATTAGAAAATTTTAAAATTTCACATGCGAAATCTTTATAATGTTCAGATAATTATCAAATGTTTCTTAAGAAAAAACTTTATATTTTATCTGTTATTTTCAGTTATGAATCTTGTGAATACTTCCTTAGGCATGTTAAAGGACTTGGGGTTTGGGGTCACCTAAGTCTTATAATTCAGAGTGCTGTAAGTGTTCAGAAAATCAAATCTATGTAAATCAATGATAACAGTGTGGTCAAGAAAAGCATTAAGCTGATCTTGTTTTATTATCTTTGTTCTCTTGTCATTTTTAAAGTTGGAAATACGTCTCACCAGCTCTAAAGAGTACTGCTTAACCCTCTCGCAATGGACATCCTATTGTGTACATGCCACGATGTTTTAGTGAATGTAAAGAACTTTCTTATCATGATATACAAATATACTTGGCATAAAAACATAACCTATAATCCAAATTTTAATATTATGCAAGTTTTAAGTTGTTAATTTTTTAAGACAAATATAAAAAAAATCCTCAATTTCCCCTAGTTTCAGAATTATGACATTTACTCTCAAGGTATCTCTTCTTCTCTAGTTTATTTACCACTCCTCCTAGAAGTACAAAATTTAATGTAGTTTACTCATTATAATGTTGTCATCACTCAGGTTTTGGAGATTTGATGACTTCTGTAAAGGGATCTTCTTGTCTTAAAACATGATGACCAGGAAACTGACTTTCAAAACAGATGTTCACACCAGTCTTTATATCTAAAATCAATATATATGATGCAATAAACATAGTTAATAATAAATACATCATACATTTTCATTTCATTTTAACAGTTTATTAAGTCAACACAAATATCAATATCAAAAATTTAAAGGTAAAAAATAATTATGATGACATTTTCATAATTTTGCACCTGATAAAAACTTTTAGTTATGGATTGAAATTACAATGTAAACATAAAATGTAGATAACAGACCATGTTTCAAGACAAAGTCTAAAATCAACTGTGGAAATATCACGGTATTGTGTTACAAGGACCAAGTTACTTTCCACCACTACTTATTTGGATTAGTTTCAAAAGATATCTACTGTCTTTAAGTAGTTGATAATGAAATCTTTTACTGCTTTATCCTCTTAACATGATGACTAACATCAGTACTTCCTGTTCAAAAGATCTATATGCATGTGAAATACATTGTTTACCAATATATTATTTACTTTTTATCAAGTTCAGGACAGAATCCACTGACAAACAGTCAAATGATGTGTCTGGAAAAACAAATATGAATGGAAATAACCTAAAACAATCTCATATAACTCAGGGTGGTGAGAAACCATACAGTTGTGTAATCTGTGAAAAAGAATTTGCAACAGTGGATAACTTGAAACAACATAAGAGGATACACACTGTAAATAAACCTTATAGATGCACAGTTTGTGGAAAACAATTTGGAACAAATTATAGCTTAAAAATACATCAAAGAATACACACTGGGGAAAAACCTTACAGTTGTACAGTTTGTGGAAAAAAAATTGTAACAAATCGTAAATTAAGAATACATAAAATAATACACACTGGGGAGAAACCTTACAATTGTGCAGTTTGTGGAAAAACTTTTGGAACAAATAGTGGCCTAAAAGTGCATCAAAGAATACACACTGGGGAGAAACCTTATAGTTGTGCTGTTTGTGGAAAACACTTTGGAAGAAATAGTTCCTTAAAAAGACATCGAAGTATACATACTGGGGAAAAACCTTACAGTTGTTTAGTATGTGGAAAAACTTTGGAACAAATAGCGTATTAAAAAAACATCACAGAATACACACTGGGGAGAAACCTTACACATGTGTAGTGTGTGAAAAACACTTTCGAACAAATAATGAATTAACAAAACATCAAAGAACACACACTAGGAAGAAATCTTATACTTGTTCTGTGTGTTATAAAGAATTTGGAAGCATTAGTAACCTAAAACAGCATCAAAATACACACACTTGGGAGAAACCATATAGTTGTGTAGTGTGTAAAAAAGAATTTAGAACAATAAATAACAGTAAAAAACATGAAAGGATACACACTGGGAAGAAATCATATAGTTGTGCTGTTTGTGGAAAACAGTTTTGGACAAACTATGAATTAAAAATACATCAAAGAATACACACTGGGGAGAATCCTTACAAATATTTTCTGATGTATTTTTAATTTACCAGTTTTTCCAAAGCCTTTTCCACAAACTGCAGAACTCTAGGTTTCTCCTTAGTGTGTATCCTCTGATGTATTTTTAATTTAAGAGGTTTTCCAAAGTCTTTTCCACAAACTGCAGAACTCTAGGTTTCTCCTTAGTGTGTATCCTCTGATGTATTTTTAATTTAAGAGGTTTCCAGTCTTTTCCACAAACTGCAGAACTCTAGGTTTCTCCTTAGTGTGTATTCTCCGATGTATTTTTATGTAAGAATTACTTCGAAATTGTTTCTCGCAAACTTCACAACTGTAAGGTTTCTCCCCAGTGTGAATTCTCTGATGTATTTTTAATTTACTATTTGTTCCAAATTGTTTTCTACAAACTGCACAGTTGTAAGGTTTCACTTCAAGATGTATTGTCTGATTTATTTTTAAGTTAGATTTACTTGCAAACTGTTTTCCACAAATTGCACAACTGTAAGGTT